TGGTGGGCGGCCACTAGGCAGGAAATGCTCACCGAAGGGAACTGGTGTGTCCCTGGGCTCTTTAGCATTTGGCCAACCCCTGCCCTTGCTCCCACTCTGGAAGAACGTGCCGTGTGACCACTTAACTTACTCTACTGAAAGCATTCAGAAAGAACAGTTTATAAACGACTATCTTCCCACTTCAGGTCTAAAGCGTTACTTGTTGTGAACATTGTTCCTTATTGTTGAAGGCGCGTTCGTGAGGCTTCGTTATACCATTCTCTGTCTCCGTGTGTGTTAGACATTTATAAATGTGTGTGTTAGACATGTAGTAAAAAGTTCCTAAGGGTTTTTGCAGTCTAATCCGAGCTGGTAACTGATGGTTACTGGAAGCTCCCTGCGGAGGGGAGTAGGAGACACAGACCCAACCTGCTGTATGTTAGCAATAAAGCAAACAGTTCGCTGGATTAGTGCAAACACAGACAGACAGACAGACAGACAAAAGCATGGCGGTCCACCAGGTGTCTCCCTGTGAACACCGTCAGCCTGCAGTGGCTGCCAGGGACCGGGGTGCAGCACCTCTCAGTGCACAGCGAGTGCAGTGAGCGCCGCGGGCTTCCGGTCACTGCGGGACCCCTCAGGGGCAGGCTGCTGTGACCAGACAGGCTCCCGTCCGGTCTTAACTGCGCTGGCCATTGGGCCCCGGAGAGTCTGCTCCCATTACTCAAACCGGCTCGTGCATTTACATTTGTACTTTACAGTAGAAATAGTTCCTGCCAGGACGGAAGCCCGTGTGAAACCAACATTGCCCTGGCCAGTGTGGCTCAGTCGGTTGGAGCATCATCCGGTAAACTGAAAGGTTCCAGGCTCAGTGCCCTATCAGGCTCATACCGGAGGAGGCAGGGGATCGGTGTTTCTCTCTCTCTCTCTCTCTCTCTCTCTCTCTCTCTCTCTCTCTCTCTCTCCCCCTTCCATCCCTCCCTCCTTTTCTCCAAAAAAAATAAAATAAAAATCCATAAGCATATCCTCAGGTGAGGATATGAAAAAGAAAACACTTCTGCCTGGCCTCACTTCTTAAAAAGACAAGGAAGAAAAAAATGCCCATCACCACAGAAGGCAGTGGGCTGTGGGCGCTGTCAGAGCCAGTGGGCCCTTCTAGAAGGCCGGGGCGGGACCTCCTCTGCCCCCTTCCCCCCCCCAACCCCCCCCCCCCCCCCCGCCCCGCACGCAGGAGTGACAGCACTTCCAACCTCACTGATCAGATCTCGTTATTGTTTACATTCGCATGGGAGTTTGGGTGATTTTTCTTACTCTGCTTTTTTATTTGTTTTTCTCACCACAGCTCAGTGACAGCACAGACAGGGCCTGTTTCTCCAGTGAGAACAACAGTGGTTTCTCCGAGATAAAACTCACACCAGTTCTTCTGTGGCCATGGAAAGGGCTGGGCCAGTTTCAATAACATGAAAGTGTGCTAGATTCTTCCTTAGCTTTTTCTTTCTTTCCGCAAATATCTACTGAATACGTGCTCTGTGCTAGGAGCTGGGGAGAGAATGTCGCGGTGCCTGCCCTTACGGAGCCCGATCTGCGGTGGGAGACCAAGTACTCCTCCAGTGCTCACAGCACAGTGCTCCCGCAGATAAAGCCCTGCCAGGCGCCCTGCTGGGAGGAGAGCAGATGGGGCTCTGCTGGTCAGAGGACTGAGGAGAAGCCGATTGGGAGATGCAGGGGTGGGGGGTCAGGTGGAGGAGGACACTGTGCCAGGGCGAGGCCGGCGCAGGTGAGCCGGAAGGAAGCGGTAGCAGCCCGAAGCAGGAGGAGGTGGTCTGTGGAAGCGCAGCCCAGCGGCTGTGGCCTTGGCTCCCTCCACCGTGTGAGGAGCACCCTACCCTGCGGCCAGCAGGTGCAGCTCAGCCAAACGGGGCTCGGCCAGCACCCTGTGGCTGGATTTCAGGCTCCTCTTCCTCCTCCAGCCGAGGCCCCTGTTGGGGGTACAGCAATACAACGTGTCGGGGTGGTGTCGGTGTCAGCGGCCGTGCCCTTGGCCATGGAGGCAGGCGGGCGGACTCTGCAGGCCCGCTAGATGTGGGAGGAGTTCTGTTCTTACCCTGAAAGCAAAGAGAAGCAAGGACACGGAGGGGCGGCTTCCCAGCTGCCATGATGGGGGACTGTGAGAACAGTAGCAGTTAGAGAAGTTCCCTGTGAGTGTTGTTCCCCTTTCTGGGTGAGTCAGGCTTCCTCAGGAACCAAACTGCGAAGACAGCTTTCTGGGTTAAACATTGTGAATCATTACAAAAGCTGCTTCTCCTGCGCAGGAAACATGTCGCTGCCTCTTTGGTTCTTGGCGTGGCAGCCTGAAAGAAGTGACTACATATGCCCTTGAACTGATCTGAGGCTCTCCATTTCAGTAACTTGTCTGTTCCTTAGCTTGCTTTTATTTTATGTAGAATGAGGTGAGTTTTCAAGCTCCCTCAGCTCTCAAATTCTGTCATTGGCCAAGATTTACCCCCTCAGCAGCTATGCTGGCATATGGCTACAGTTAGCAGAATCACACTGCGTGTTTAAGGCATGTGTCCACACCTAGCAATGGCTGCCTTTCTTCAGAGGGAATGAGAGTGCTAGGGACTTCCCGGAATGATCCTGAGCTGCTTATCCCAACTACAAGAATGGGGTTTCTTAGGATGTGGGACTGGGAGAGAGATTTCTGAGGCTGGTTAGCAACACAGAATGGCTTCTATGGTGAGTTGCTGTCACAATTACAGCAACCAACACCCCTTTTCTCCCCTGTGTCCCTCTGAATATATTTCTTCACTTCTCTGGGCCTCAGCTTATTCATGTGTAATGAGACTGAAATGATTCCTCTTTGAAGATTTTGTTCTGCTTTTGATTTGTGAAACTAGGGACTGTTTCCGCCAAGGACCGAAAATCCACGTTCTCTCCCTCCCTCCCTCTCTGCTGCTCTCTCTCTCCTCCCCTCTCTCCCTCTGGCTGGTGTGTGCACTTACTTGCTCTACTGGAAGTGGTGTGCATTTCACCGTTTTAAAGAAGGGAATTGCCTGTAATCCGAATAAAGCAGGAAGTCATTCCTGCTCTGAGTAATTTTGTTCATTTTTTCCAGCTTAGGAACTTGGTTACTTTCTAATTGTAGATTGTGGCTGGGCATGTTGTAAACTCAGATCAGTTCTGTCTGTTTGCTCTGTTCCTTCCCCTTGAACATGAGCAACGGGAACAGGTGAAGAGCAAATCTGGAGTTGCTGGAGTCAGGCCTGGATTGTTCATTGTTCTTTTGTCCTTGGCTTTATTTAGACATCTGACCCCGGTGTCTACTTCACTTGTCCAGAGGAAAATAAAAAAAGCTCGGCATGCATTTTATTACTCGCTCACTTCATGAATTATTCTAATAGGTATTCTAGAAAGAACTGAGGAGGAAAGCTTTGACACTTTGCTGCCAACCAGTCATCATCAATTTACATTTTATGCAAAGGACCTCCTGAACTTGAACCTCCACTCTAGTTCTTTGCCTTAGTGTTGGTCTCCTCCTTACAGCTTAGAAACCGTGGGTCCGTCAAGGCTACGTAAAAGGGTTTGTTTCTTCAGTACCTTTTCTCACTTTCATTTATTTGTTTTTAAATATCAATTAAAAAAATTTAAGTAATAGTTTTAAGAGGTAGAATCAGAGCTAATGTTGAAAGGAATTTTTAAAAGGTTTCTTAGTTATCCTACATATGAATCCCAGCATGACTACGAAGCCTCCTCTATCAGAGGGAGGAAGCTGTGGCCTCACCTGTCATTATCCTGTCTTCCCCGTCCTCCACAGCCCCTCACGGTGTCTCCAGAGCACGATGCAAACACTGACCCTCCGTGTCCTTCCCAAGTGACATGCTCGTTAGCCTCTCGGGAGGATGGAATGCTAGTAACTGTGTGCTTGCTGACCGCACTGTCTGTTAGGGCTTGGTATGCACAGGGGTGGAGTGCAGCGCCCTGTCATTTCCACTTGGTCTAAATCTCCTCTGCACAGTGTGTTCTCCCATTATCAACGTAGTGTCATTCTGACTCGGGCCAGTGAATCTGCAAGCTCTGTGTTTGGGAATTCCAGTTGGTAGCCCACCTCCCAGTGAGGCTTGGGGCCCTTTTAAAGAACTACAATGGACTCTATGCAGGAATCGTAAACTCAAATGCCTCCGTGGCAGGGCTGGTCACGTAAGAGGACAATGCAGGCCAATGGTTAGGTGAACCATGAGCAGTGCGGCTCCCTGGGGCCCCTGCGTCAGAGACGCCGGGTGGCGGTGGAGACCGGGCCCGGGGAGACCCTTGCTCTCTCTGAGCAGGAGGAGCTCCAGCCCTGTGGACGGTGGAAGAGTGGGCCCGGTCTTGTTAGAGTTTCATGTTTCCACGGGAAGCAAGAAATCCCAAGTTTTATGGACTTTTCAAACTCTGGGACTTGAGGAAAAGTTTTTTTTAATGCACTGTCCATTTCAGACACAAATTTGACCGAAGACTAGCTCTGGCCCACGGAGGCTATTGTGTGACCTCTGTGCCGGCGGTCGCCAACCTTTCGGACTCACGGACCTCAGTGGTCTGTGGTCTGCCGGTTGGTGACCACCGCTCTGTGCCACATTCGCCTGTCATGGCCATTTCTGTAAGGATCTAAGTAAGCCCTCAGAAAACAGGATTTCATGTACTGGAGCCCAAAGAATGAGCGCTAATCACAGCCCCTCCACAAGGGGGCTCCTGAATGGACAAGGCTTACCACCGTGGGCCTCTGATGAGATGAACTGACGAGTCTGTGGGAGTCGAACTGCCTCGGTGTGACTCTCACCTCCCCATTCTCTCACCTCCGCACCCAGGTTTCTTTTTTCGGGAAATGACTGAGTGGTGTCTCCTCCCGGTTCTAAGGATTACATGAAGCAGTTCAGATAAAATGCCCAGTAAATGCTGCCCAGTCGTTTTGACCCCTCCTGTCCTCCTCTTCCTGTTCCTGCTGCCCCAGTGCTGACACCGCCTCTCTTTCTCTCCCCTCCCAGGTTCCTGAGTCCCTTCAACATGATCCTGGGCGGCATTGTGGTGGTGCTGGTGTTCACGGGGTTCGTGTGGGCTGCCCACAACAAGGACGTGCTCCGCCGCCTCAAGAAGCAGTACCCCACCACCTTCGTCATGGTGGTCATGGTGGCCAGCTACTTCCTCATCTCCATGTTCGGGGGCGTCATGGTCTTCGTGTTCGGCATCACCTTCCCTCTGCTGTGTGAGTGAGCCGCGCGGGAATTACACAACCTGTTTCTTTTTTACATTTAAATTAGTTATTGTTGAAAGCATTACACCATCACCTGTTTCTTACGAGTGTTGGCATATCTACAAAATTACCAGAATGTTCTGAAATAGCAGATGCAGGCTATTGGTTCTACAAATATGTACTGGGCACCTGCTTAGTGCCAGCCCCTTCCGGGGAACACAAGGTCAAGAGAAATACAGCTCCCAGCCGCGGCCGGTGGGGGGCGCAGCCGCACGAGAGGAGAGCCGCCTGAGAGGGGGTCTGGGCCAGTCTTCGGTGCCATCACAGTCCTCACTCCGGCCAGTGCTGGTCATTGGGAAGCAGCCGCTTCCTCTGTGCCGCTCAGGAGGTCACAGGCAGCGCATGGAGCTGCCCACGGGAAATCTCTCCTCATGTGTACTTTCTCAATGAATTTCCTCTAGCGAGAGGGACTCAAAGAAGATCGTTATTGCTGTCAAAAGTTTTATAAGCCTGTAGAAATTATTGGCCCAGAAATCAATACCAAGTCCTCCGGTTCTGATGAGGAGTAGATAGTTTGTAAGTTTTACATGCTTTTTTTTTTTTTTTTTAAACTGAGATTCCAGGCCCATGAAGCCTGAAATAGAGAATATATCAAATTCAGTCCCATTGGCAGAAATCTGATTAAAATTCTAGGGTATTAAGTGACAGAAACATCCCTTTAACTTTTAATAGCATTTCACATGTGCTTTATCCCATTAAGTAAAATCAATTGGTGTTGCGTTAGATTAAGAATGTTTCAAGATGAATCCCACACAATAATTGACAAAATACTCACCACACCAGCAGATTCAGACTTTCTGAAGTATTCTTCAAGCTGTCCTTCTCTGTTAGAGGCTTGGTCAGTAGTTCAGTGATTCTCTTAGGCAAACGCTTGTTACCTGGAACACCTTTTCACCTCAGAGCCTGAGGCAGGCAGTGTAGAAGGGGCATCATAGGGAGGGAGTCAAAGGGTTTGGTTTCTGCTCCTGGACCTGCTGGGAAGCAGCCATGTGGTTTGGACCAGGTATACTATATGGGCCGAAGTTCACACATTCTATAAACCACCGAAAACTACACAAGATAAGTGATTCCCAAACTTCGATGATTGTGAGGATAACCCAAGATGCTTATATAAACAAAAATATAAAATTTCCAACTATATTTTTAAAAAATGTATTTTTATTGATTTCAGAGAGGAAGGAAGAAGGAGGGAGGGAGGGAGGGAGGGAGGAAGGGAGGGAGGGAGGGAGGGAGGGAGGGAGGGAGGGAGAGAGAGAGAGAGAAACATCAGTGATGACAGAGAATCACTAATCAGCTACCTCCTGCATGCTCCACTGGGGATTTGAGCCCACAACCCAGGCATGTGCCCTGACCTCCTGGTTCATAGGTCGACACTCAACCACTAAGCCATGCTGGTGGGGCATATCTGTTTCTTAATAAACAAACTTTGGTAATTCTCAACGATGAAGCAAACTTGGGGAACACGAGACACACTAAATCTATAAAGCTGTCAGCTCAGGGGGTGGGCATCCATGCTCTGAAAGGTTAAGGGCTCTATCCCGTTAGGGGCGTGCAGGAGGCAGCCCCTCAATGTTATGTTCTCACATGGATGTTTCTCTCTTCTCCCTTCCTCTCTCTAAAAACCAATAAGCTATTTTAAAAAGCGACAGAACTGTTAGTTTCTGTCTATAAATCTATATCCAACACTTCAGAAAGCGGCCTGTTGCCTGGGCTGCGCCACACGCCCCTGGTTGTCTCAGGGCTGAGCGCGAGCTCCTCTCTGGACGCCAGTGCGAGGCTGGCTCGGCTGGGCCGGAGCATGTCGGTGGCTTTGAGTGTGGGCACTGCAGGAGCAGCTGGAAGGGGGCGGCACCGTGCAGGTGCGAAGAGGGGCTACTGGGCAGCATCCTTCCTGCTGGAAGCAATCCCCTTCTTCTCATGATAAGAACATGCCTGTAAGGCCTCTGTGCAGGCCGAGGGGCATGTAAGGTTTGGGCCGGTCAGAGAACCGGGTAGACTCCCGCTCAGGAAGGCGGGGACGGAGGGAGGAGGGGAGAGAGGGAAGAGGCTCACCGTGTCTCCGTGTCTCCCCTCTCTGCAGTGATGTTCATCCATGCTTCGCTCAGACTTAGGAACCTCAAGAACAAGATGGAGAATAAGCTGGAGGGCATCGGCCTGAAGAGGACGCCCATGGGCATCGTGCTGGACGCCCTGGAGCAGCAGGAGGAAGGCCTGGGCAAGCTCACTGACTATCTCAGCAAAGCGAGGGAGTGACGGCGCCTGGCGAGGCTGCCGCTGAGCGCCAGGTGCAGTGCTCGTCCAGGCCCACTTTCTGTGTGTGTTTTTGAGGTGAGGGGGACAGACCACCAACAGCCGATGGCCGCATGCATCTGTGGGCCAAACTGTTAGCACCTCTGATGTTAGAGAAGGCCCAGGGACCGAAAGAAACCCCCTCCCAGTCTGTCTGAACTTTCAACTATGCTTATGAAAACTGATAGGAAATGGAGCACACTTATGTCTTAGGGGAATAAAGAAAATGTAGGAATTGATTGTGCAGCCACAATACAGTTATAGGAAAAAAAGTAACTGTAGAGTTCAAGGTGAGGAGCAATGGGAGACTGTTCATGTAGATAATGTCATGCATTTGCCTGTTCAGTCCCCCGGCATTCTCCAGTGTATTCCCCGGGATCGTATGTGGGCTCTAAACTAGTTTAGTGTTTACTGTTTAAAATAAAAAATGATCTCTATCACTTTGCCTCCTGTTTGACATGCAGAGGAAACTGGACAAACCAGTTGTTTATATTTTGTTTACAAATATAAAGATAGCTGTTTAGAAGAATATTTTGTCGAATTTTTGTAATTTTTGAAATGCTAGTCACGTGTTTTTACTAGCAGGTATTGGCTGCAAACTGAATGTCATCTTCCTTAAGGCACTTACAGCCGTGTACCGTCTTCTTTAAAAAGTAATAAACAAGCCATGTTTATATCCCACATTTTTTTGTTATCATAACAGAAAGGTGTCTAAGATAACGTTTCCTATATATTTTTTCATTTTCAGCTTTAAAAGGAATGTGTTTTTCAATTTCTTAGGGGCACAGAAAGGACACTTAATAGCTGGTTGTCTGAAATCTGAAAAGCATCTTTAGATGATCCAGGAAGACTTTAAAATGGGAATGAAAGTGGGAGTGATCACCAGCATTGGCAGTTCATAGAAACTTTAAGCAGCAATTGTTACAAACATGTGTTTTTATAAATAGACATTGAATTAAGATAGCATGTGTTCATATATTCTGTTCCTTTCTTCATCTCCTTCCCCATGTGTTGTGCTTAGAAATAGATTATGCAAAGTGATTTTATAGGTGAATAGGACACACTTTGTTTTCCCTCCAGCTGAATCGGGAAGACAGTGGAGCAGCACTCCGTGAGGGGGTGCTGTGTCCCAGAATAAGAGGCCACAGCATGTGCTCCTGACTTCCCTTGCACTTTAATTTCTCAGCCAGCCTGCAGCCTTCATCTCTAGTTCAGTGACAGCATCCCGACTTCACAGACACGGTCTAGGAATTGTACCCTGACCCGAATATGAAGAATAAAATGTTTCAAAGGTTTGTTTGTGAGACTTTATTTAATGCACATTTATGTTAAATGTCTAAGAAACTCAGTGACAACTTGGTTTTTTAAATGATGTACTACACAGTAAACACTCATATTGCATTTCAAATACTGTTTAATAAAACCTTAGTACTTTATTATAAATTTCCAGTCTGAATAAAATTGAATTCCAATGGGATCCTTTTAAAATTTTTAAATAATTTTTTTCATTTTTCAATTAAAGTTTACATTATTTCAGGTGTACACCCCAGTGATTAGATATTACATAACTTATTAAGTGATCATCCTGATATATCTCATACCCATCTTACACCATACGTAGTTATTATAATATTATTGCTATATTCCCTATGCTATACTTCACATCCCTATGACATTCTGTAACTACCAATTTATACTTTTTCATCTCTTCACCTTTTTTATCCATCCCCCAACCCTCTCATCTAGCAACCGTCAAAATGTTCTCTGTATCTGAGTCTGTTTCTGTTCTACTTGTTCATTTATCTTGTTTTTCAGATTCAATTGTTGGTAGTTATGTATTTATTGTCATTTTGTTCATATTTTTAAAAATTCTTTGTAACTCTTTGCATTTTAATTATGATGTGTCTTGGTGTGGCCTCTTTGATTGGAACTCTCTGTGCTTCCTGGGCTTATATGTCTATTTCCTTCACCAGTTTGGGAAAGTTTTCTGTCAAATAGTTTTTCAACTTCTTGCTCTCTCTTCTCTGGCACCCCCATAATGTGAATGTTGGTGTGATTAAAGTTGTCCCAGAGTCTCCTTACAGTATCCTTATTTTTGGGGAAATTATTTTTCCTATTTGCTGTTCCAATTGGATATTTTTTGCTTCCTCGTATTCCAAATCATTGATTTGATTCTTGGTTTCATCAACTCCCTATAAATTATTCTTCATTTCAGTTAGTGTATCCTTTATTTTTGACTCGTTCTTTTTTACGATTCCATATCCTTTTTTATGCTGTTAAAGTTCTCATTAAGTTCACTCAGCATCCTTCTAAGCCGTGTTTTGAACTCTGCATCTAGTAGATTGCTTGTCTCCATTTTGTTTAGTTCTTTTTTGGAGTTTTGTTCTGTCCTTTCATCTGGTGGTTCTTTGTCTCCTCATTTGGCAGCCTCCCTAGTTTGCTTCTATGTATTAGGTAGAGCGGCTCAGTCTCCCTGGCTTCGTAGACTGGCCTAATGCAGTAGGTGTCCTGTAGGACCCCGTGGCAGGGCCTCCCTGTTCCTCTGAGCTAGGCATTCCAGGTGTGTGCCCCAGCCCCTGTGGGGCTGTGTATACCCTCCTGTCGTAGGTAAGCCTTGATTGCTGTTGGCAGGTCAATAATAAGGATTTAGCCCCAGGCCAATCAGTTGCAAGGACTGGCTTTGAGCAGTGGCTGTGAGCACTGTGGAGGATCAGGAGTGCAGGGGCCCACCCCAAGCAGCAGGACCTACTTCATCTGGGCTCTGGTGACTGCTGAGCCCATTCTTGAGCGTGTCCCTTGTGGAGGTAGTTGGGTGGTGCTTTGATGTGTTCTGAAGCTGTTAACTATATGCCATGGCTTTGGGGCCTTCTGGGAGGTGCAGGCCAAGTTCTGTCACTGCTTGTGTTCTTCTTAAAGCCTCCTAGCATGAACTACAAAGCGATCTGCAGATGGCTGCTACTTGTGCTGGGCTTGGAGGTGCCCAGGAGAGGCCAAGCTGTGAACCAAAGCTGGCTGCTGCTAGTGCTGGGCCTGGAGCCACTTAGTGAGAGGTACTCTGAGGCCAGATGTTTCTTGTTTGAGAGATTTTTAAGAAGTCTGAGGCATGAGCCAAGACAGTCCATTTGTATGGAAAAGCCACTGGAAACAACTTGGGTGGACCCATAAGTTGGCTAGGGCTGGGTATTGGGGAATCACCAGGGTGAGGCAAACAGTGTGAGCCAGGTTGATGGAGTCTCAGATATGGCAGCTTCCCACCAGCTCTGTGGAGAAAGGCTCATCAAAGGAACAATGGCCGCTGCCTGCACTTTTGTCTGAGAAAGCCACCCCTCCAGCCCTGGCCCTAAAACCAGAGAACGCAGTTCCTCCCTGACTGTACCTGGGTACCCATTAGGCTGGTGCCCCAGTGCTGAAGCTCAGAATGAGTGAGTCTAAGTCTGTTTGTGGGCCCTTTAAGAGGAACATCCAGCAGCCCCCTGTCTCCCTCAGCCACAATCCCTGCTGGTTTTTACAGCCAGAAGTTATGGGGACTTTTCTTCTTGGAATCAGAATCCTGAAATATGGGACTTTTGCAGCTGAGATATCCCTCCTGATTTTTATCTGCCACGTGTGGACATGGGCCCCATCTAGTCCATGTCTCCATCTCTCCTACCAGCCTTGATATGGCTTCTTCTATATATCCTTACTTGTAGGACTTCCATTCAGCTCGATTTCAGGTGGTTCTGAATGATGGTTGTTCTATAGTGTAATTTTGATGTCCCAATGAGGTCCTTTTTTAAAACCTGACATAGGTTTATACACATTTTAGCCACTTCCATTTTCTACACAATGTTTTCTGCTGACTTAAACACAGTAAACTTGGAGAAAATGACCAGTTGAAATTTGAAAAGGTACTCATTTTAATTAGTAACAGTGTCAATTCTAGAAAACTAGCATGTGAATGCTCTAAACTATTACATTTTTTCTATTTTTATAACATTTTATATAAGTACACAGGTTGCCAGATAGCATACAGTTTCTAAAAATGCCCTGGGTTTTTGTTACATTCCATTTTTAGAGGATACACTCAGATCCATGGTAAAATGCAGGCATCACATGATTATTATCTTTGGAAAAACTATTCTTAGTATCTTGTCTCTTCACAGTAGTAGCTTGGCTATCCACTTGTGCGGGGTCTGCTATCACTAACATGTCATAAAACGTTAGTAACAAAACGTGAAGGCTGGATCCACGGGTGGCGAGTATTTCCAAATGGCAGCAGTAGCGCCGGGGCCTGCGTGCCCACTTCACATCATCTGTCTAAACAGGCAGGGTGAGACCTCATGACCCCCCTCGCAACCAAGCAAGAAGCAAACATTTTGGGAGAAATTATTACATTTTAAAAACAAATTAAACTCTTCAATTTAGAGATTTTTTAGCGAGGGAATGGGTCAATAGAAAAAGGATAATTTTGCCTGTCCCTCGACAAAACCTGTGCATTGAGACAGTAGCTGTCCCTGTGTGTTTGGAAACAGGGAAGGTTTGTGCACGTAAAGGTTCACCTTCTTCATTAGTTTTTCTGGAGACACTGTTTTCTCCGCGTCCTGTGGCTTAAACGTTCTGCTCCTCACAGACACTTCTGTCAGAAGTGTATCCCAAAGCCCCGGGAGATGGCCAAGGGAGAAAGCCAGGCAGGGCTGGAAACCGGAAACTCGGTGGATCCGAGAGAGGGGCTAATTAACGATTCTTCCGTTTCTAAGCAGCTGAAGGGCCTGGAGCTCAAGTCACCCATCACATTTCCGGAGATGAAACATGAGCTGTTCCTTTAAGAGACTGTGATGAGTTACAGCACAGGAGATGGAAGGTGAAAAAACGGAACTCTACTAGCAACACTTCTACAGTATTTATTGTTGCCTAGCGGAAGAAAGCAATAGTAAAGCAAATGTTTACGAAAAATGTGTGGGTTTTTGTGTTTTTGTTTTTTTTTA